GCCTACAAGTCCCAGCATGCACTTCTCGTTTCTCTCTCGCGTCCTGTCCTTGGGTCAGCCCAGCCTTGGGTCAGCCCAGCCTCCAGTCCCAGAACACACCTTTAGCACCACCACCACCATCTCTTAGTTCATTGCCCCCAGCACCAGTCCCATCATGTACAGCTCTGCCCTTAGACACACCTATGGACAAGCCTCAACGGTGTGCCACTTTACTTGTTGGCCCTGTCCCATGACCCTCAACACACAGCTGAACAGTATCCCCAAACAATGGCAGCCCTCTGTGCTGGCTCCCCCTTGGGCTGCGGAGACCCAGGTACAGAGCTTCAGTCCCTGCCTGTGGGTGCGCAGAGACCTGGCTCTGGGGCAGAGTCACAAGGCAGGAGGAGAGGGGGGCATGGGCCTCCCCCTCCCAAGTGGCCACACCCAACCTGATGTGTTCACTGCATTCTGTCCCTCACATTCCAGGCTTCACAGCAACTTTTGAGCGCCCACTGTCAATGAGTAGAACTTGTTTGCTGCTTAAAGGATCTGGGCAACCAAGTACTTGATGGGGAAAGGGTGGGTAGTTTGGAGGTTGGAGGAGTCCGTTCTTCCCAGATACACACGTCTAACTGGGGGGACACACAGGGTGTGATCCCCAGTGAGCCCTAGTCTGAGATAGGGAGAAAAGATGCACACTTGAGGGGTGAGCAGGAAGGAGACACTTCCTCCCTCTAGGAAAGGTTTGTAGAAAGCCAACAAGGGAAGGCCTGGGGGCTCCTGGGAGGAGGCTGCGTGGCCAGTCCCTTCCTCCACTCCCCCCAGACGTTTCTATGACTCGGGAGCCATCATGCTGCGGGAGGAAGCCACGGTCCTCACCGGGATGCTCATCGGACTGAGTGCCATAGACTTCAGGTGGGTACCAGTGGTGGTGGAGTGGGGGGTGTCAACGTCCACGCCTATTCCCCTCATCCTGCCCCCAACCCTGTGGTTGTCCTGCCCCCAGCTTCTGCCTAAAGGGCGAAGTGCTGGACGGGAAGACCCCCGTGGTGATCGATTACACGCCCTACCTGAAGTTCACCCAGAGGTGAGTGGCCTGATCTTTGCGGTCGGTCGGCGAGGACAGCCCACCGCCCCGAGGGTGGGGACGGCGGGCGGGGAGCAGGCTGGGTGGGCACCCGGGTCCGCCGGCCCCAGTGGGCGGGGAGGGGACGCTCGGGCCTGCAGGGCTGCGGGTGCCCACTGCTCCCTCCCCCAAGCTACGACTACCTGACGGACGAGGAGGAGCGGCACAGCGCCGAGAGCAGCACGAGCGAGGACAACTCGCCCGAGCACCCTTACCTGCCGCTCGTCACCGACGAGGACAGTTGGTACAGCAAGTGCCACAAAATGGAACAGAAATTCCGCATCGTCTATGCGCAGAAGGTGCGCGAAGCGCGGTGGGGGGGCGGGGCGGGGCGGGGGGCCCGGGGCGCAACCCGACGGGGGCGGCCGCCGGGACGCCCTCCTCCCGCCGCCGGGGCTGAGCCGGCGCCCCGCAGGGCTACCTGGAGGAGCTGGTGCGTCTGCGCGAGTCGCAGCTGAAGGACCTGGAGGCGGAGAACCGGCGGCTGCAGCTGCAGCTGGAAGAAGCAGCCGCGCAGAACCAGCGCGAGAAGCGGGAGCTGGAAGGCGTGATCTTGGAGCTACAGGAGCAGCTGTGAGCACCGCCACCTACCCTGGTCCCTGACGCCCCCGCCACATCACCTCAGGGGACCCCTACCATTGCCCCCCCATTGACTCCAGCATCACCTTTCCTGACCCAACTCAACCGCCATGATCAAACCGCTGATCCTGGCCTCCACCCAAGATCCTCTCCAATAACCTTCTAGCATTATCTTCAATATAAAATCCAGTGACACCCCCAATTCCCCCACCCCCACCCCGCACAAAAACATTTCCCCTTCAATTACCGGCTCAAGCTAGAATGACCACCCCTCACTCCAGCTCCCTTCCCCCCCCACACACACTGCGGGAACCTCCTGTGTTACTCAGCTGTCAACGGGATTATATTCCCGCCTCTTCAACAGCCCCCTGTTCTGCAACATAGACCCACTAACCTTAATCACTCAAGGGAACCCCATACCTCATGCCTATGGGGCCGCTAACATCTCTCTCCTAAACCTCTTCATTGCTCTATGACCTTCCAGCACACTGTCCTGTCTCCCCTTTAAGCGTCAAGTTCCCACACTATTCTTATCCATCAGCTCCCCCATTCCCAACTCCCACAACACCCCTTTGTTCCCTCTAATCCCCTATATGAGTGCACTGATCACCGTCATCCCTCTGACACCCCCATCCCTCCACCGATTCCCAGGATCTGCCCCCACTGATCCTCAACATTCTATCCCCATTTTTGTTACCCAGGTTTTATTCCTAACCCCTCCCCCTACTCTTTGCTGAGCCTCCCTTCCCCACCTCCACTCCCTCTCCCAGCCAGGCCTGACCCCCCCTCCCCATCCCAGGACAGGCCTGATCCCCGGTGACCACGCTCCCCTGGCCCAGGGTTCCAAGGAGCTTACTACACCCCTGGTCAACCAATGGCCGTCACTGGGAACACTCAATGGAGCTGAGGGGGCCCACAACCCCAAGCTCTACCGGCGGTAAGCCCCTGCCAGGCTTAGCTTGGGCCTGTGCTGGTCCCCCCCTGGGGAAGTGGGCGTGGGGGCAGGGGCTGTAGGCCTTTGCCTGCACACCAGCTCTCTGCTCTGCCAGACACAGTTTCATGAGCCCGGAGCCGCTGTCAGCTGAAGCCAGTCTGAGCTCGGACTCCCAGCGCCTGGGAGAGGGCAAACGGGATGAGGAGCCTTGGGGCCCCATCGGTGAGCTCCCCCAACCCAGCACCCCTCCAAGAAGGGCTGAGGCAAGGTCTCGGGGTCTGTAACCAGGCCCTGGCTGATTCCCTTACCCCTCTGAGAGCTTAGCACAGCAATCAGAGCTTGGGTGTCAGTAGACTATGGTGCAAACCCCTGCCATGTCCGCTCTGGTTAGCCACTTCACCTTGCTGCCCCCATCTGTAGAGTGGTGATAAAGCAGCCACCAGAATAGAGGTAGGTGTACGTCATCAATAGAGCCAGGTGTCAATGGCTTTTTCGTATGACAGCCTCAAGGGACTCAGATTCTTAGGGTTTCTTCAGTCTAATTTGCTCATGTCGCAGATGCTCTATGCACCACTCTCCTGACTGCTGTTTCCCCTTTTTCTTTGGCTGCCAGGAAGCTCAGAGCCAAATTAGTGGCTCCCTTCAAGCGAATGTCCAGGACTTCAACGCATGCATTTTGTGTTGACCTCCCCCTGGCTTCACCTTGGTTTTCCCGCCCTAGTTTTCCCAGTGCCTGGATTTCCTTTTTTGAAAACCACACTGTATTTGATAATCCCAGATCTTCTTTGACACAAGGCACAGACTATGATCGTGTAACCCCACCACACTGTTTGTGATTGTCTGTGTGTCTGTCTCCCCACCAGACTGTGAGCTCCTTGAGGGCAGGGACCGTGTCTCGTCCATTCTCTGTATTCCCAGTACTTGGAACGGAGCAAGTGCTCACTGTGTGTTTAATAAATGGACAAAGAGAGGCTAAACCTCAAGGGGAGACAGAGACATAAATTGACGATTACAATACAGTGTCCCCAGCACCTCACCTGGCAAGGGCTTGAGTTGAGGTTTAGCTGAAAGAGGCACATGCTCCCGAGAGAACAGAGCAATCTCCGGGGGGTGAGCTGATGGCTGACCCTTCACTGCCTGCCCCATCACGCCCCCCCAACTCTCACACATATGGACTGGATGGCCCAGCCTCACCGTCCTCTCTCCCCAGGGAAGGACCCCACGCCCTCCATGTTGGGCCTCTGCGGCTCTCTGGCCTCCATCCCCAGCTGCAAGTCCCTGGCGAGCTTCAAATCCAACGAGTGCCTGGTGAGCGACAGTCCTGAGGGCAGCCCGGCACTGAGCCCCAGCTGAGGAGCCATGTGGGCAGTGCCAGCCCCACCTGCCAGGGGCATGGACACCTGCCGCCTTTCCTGAGTCCCCAATCCCGGCCACCCTGCCAGAGAACGCTGCCCATCCAGCCAGGCTATTTGGGAAAGACCTTGGCCTCTTGCCCATTCTGGCTTCTTGCCCAAGGAGGCAGTCACTGCGAAGGGAAGCTGATGGGAACGGAGGCAGGGGCACCAAGGCCACAGGAGCCCAGGAAGCTTGACCCATTCTCTTGATGACCCTGGATCCTGGCTGCTCCTTACTGGACTCTCCTTCACTCATGCCCCCGCCCTCCTCAGGAGCCAGCATCCAAGGCAGCCCCACCTCCCAAGGCCCTCCCTCTGCTCCTGTGTACTCCCTAGAGTCACGCCTTCCTCAGCCCCCAGGGGGAGGGGCTCCCAGGGGATCAGGCAAATAAAAAGCAGAGGACTGAGGACAGACTTGTCTGTGGGGGGTGGGGCAGGGGGCCTATGCTGAGGGGGCAGAGTTCGGGGGAGCCAGCCTGGGACCACGAGCAAGGGGAAGCTGTGTCTGCCCCGCGGCAGCAGGCCCGGCCAGCTCAGGGAGTGGGTGGCCTTTACACAAAGAGTCCGGAGCAGGTATGCCCAGGGCAGGAACAAGATACGTAAACGTCCCTTCAACCTGATGCTCTTCAGTAACCCGCTTGACCCCAAGCAGAGAAGACACTGCACATCTGGGGTGCAGCTGGAAGAGGCAAGCCCTGGCAGGGCTGTTTTCCCTTGGTCTTCCCAGGCAATTCAGCTTTGACTCTAGGTTGCAGACGCTTCCACAGGTCAAAACTGGCGGTGAAGCCACCCTCCCTCTGTTGGCACTGCAGCGTACCTGGGGGGGAGATCCTACCACCGCCAGGATGTGGCCTGTTATCCCCTCAACTCTGGGTCCTCACCCTGACCTGGCTCAGTCGGGAGGGGAGGCGGCTCTCTCCATGGGTGCCACCTGGGCAGCCAAGGCCAACAGCAAGGCTCCTTCCAGCCTCCTCTGTGCAACTCACCAAGGCCCACTTTCTTCCCCTACCCCAGGCCCCCATAGTCACAGGCACCAGAGAGAAGTTCACCATCTTTAGACTCAGGAATGGACAGCAGAGGGTACAGGCTACACCAGGCCCAGGGTGTTTGGCTCCTGGGGGCAGGCCCAGCTACAGCAAACACGCAGGGAAAGGGGTGGGACAGCGAGACAGCAAATTTGGTCTTGAAATCTGGGGGGGTGGGACAGAAAAGTGATGATCCTTGAGGCTAGGAGTGTGAAGCAGCAGGAAGAAAGCTGTCTGAGGAGAGCCTGGGCGGGCCGGAGGGGCAGCCCCCACCCCTGGAACCCCTCCCCTCAGAGCTGAGGAAAAGGCACTTGGCTCAGTTTCCTGCTCTACCCCACCCGTGGAAGAGATGGGGTCCTCATCCCAGGCCCCGTTCAAGGGCCCAGAGGCCGTTCCTGGTTGAGCCTCTGGAAGAAGCCTTTGCTGAACTCATAAGTGCTGATCATGATGGCACAGGAGGGGGCGGCCTTGATGAGCCTGGGGAGGAAGCCTGCGGAGGGAGAGGGAGGGTGGGGTCAGAGGTCAGGAGCCCCGGGGGCCCCAACCGCACCAGGGCATGGACAAACATCCACACAGACACTCACCCGCGAAGAGCCCCCTGGTGCCCGACTCGGCCAGGATCCTCCGCAGCAGCAGCCAGGTGGAGTGAGCGCGTGGGGGCGTCACTGTAAATGTAAGGCCGGGCCCAGTAAGACCCCAGAGGGACCCTGGTGTGCCCCAGCCCACACCAGCTGGGCCCTGACCTCTCACAGCCTCCACGGCTCCCAGAGCAATCTGGCGCTGAGTCTTCACCACGTCAAAAGGTAGAGTCAGGATGGCCGCCACCTGATGGCGAGGGGGACACCAGGTTCATCTCCTTGTCCAGGCCCCCCTTCCTTGCATCTGTGGCTCGGGCTTGCCGGTGCGGGGGGAGGGGCACGGAGAGCAGCTGGCCTGACCCCCAACCCAGTCAACTCACGGTTCCCGAGACGCCACCGGCCACAAAGCTGACGCCCACGGAGGTCTGGTCCTTCGGCCTGTGCCCGCTAAGCCAGCTCTTCATCAGCTCGTAGTTGAACCAGTACAGGGCTGAGGAGCACCGGGGTACACGCGTCAGAGACGAGGGCACGCCCACTGACCCGCGTCTGCCAAGGGCTCCCTCACGCCCCCCCCACGCCCCTGCGCCTACCTGAGAAGGGCACATCCCGGAGGGCAGTAGGGCCCCAACCCAGCCACAGCGAGCGCCAGCCGCCCTGCGCCACCGCGGCTCGGACACAGGCGCCCAGCTCCCGGTAGGACACGTGCTGGGCCTGCAGCTTAGTCCGCACCAGCTCGAGGGGGCTGACCACCGTCACCGTACCCACTGCGGGGACAACAGGGAGGGCTCAGCTTACGGTACCCATGGCAATCCACCCCAAGGTCTGGGGACTCAAGACTCCCCAACCCCAGGCTGGCAGAGGTTGGAGCCGGGAGCCAGGACTGGACTTGGGCACTTGTGAGTGGAGGGGGGTGAGGGGAGGAGCTGAGGAATATCACAGGCCCAGGGCTGTGCTCACAGCGAGCCAGGGCACCAGCCACCATCGGTGCGTAGAGGTCAGAGGTCAGGGCTCGACCACAGAGGAAGGTCTTGAGTTGGTCGTAGGCAGTGAAGTAGATGGCGGTGGCAGGCACAGTCATCACCCTGGGGGTGCAAACAGAAATTAGGGGATGCTCCCAAAAGTTCCCAGGCCTGCCCTGCCCCAGCCGGTCACCAGGGGCACGGTGGCTTAGCAGTACACAGTGGTACACAGCAGAGGGCAACACGAGGAGCAGGGTACTCACAGGGTGGCTGGGAGGCCGCTCCACAGGGTCCTGGGGCCCTCATGTCTCACAATCTTCACAAAGGCATCCTGGCCACGCAGGCACCGGTCCCGAGGGAGGAAGGACAACCATGAACAAGGCCGGCGATGGGGGCTGGCCCGGCTGGGCTCTAGGCCTCTGCCCATGGCCCTGGCTCCTCCTGCTGAGAAGCAGCGGCTCCTCTGGCCTCCACATATAAAACTCCCCACCTGACCCCAGTCGACGCCCGTGTGTCCTTCAAAACCTCACAGAGACGCTACTTTCCCAAGCTGACTAGGTACCCTAGGGGATCTGCACTACCTGTTCTTTCCTGGCCCTCCTGCCCAACCAGTCTAGGAAGGCCTACAGACGCAACTGAAGGCACAGCTGCTCCTCACCATGGTGCCAGTGAAGCGAGTGGGGTCGTGAAACCAGGTGGCACAGCGGGCGCCATTTGGGCACAGGTACAAGGGCTCCAGGACACCGTTGCAGTAAAGGAGGCACTTCCCTGTGGGTTGGAGAGAAGAAGGCACTGGGGAAGAAAAGGGGCCATTGGAATGGCAGAGTCCTGGGACCTTGCAGGGCCGGTAGCTCCCGACGCTGCAGTCTCTGGGTGGACCTTCCTGGGAGGACAAGGGCTGGCTGGGAAGTCCTGGAAGCATGTTCTAGGCCACAGCTGTGGGGCCCACAATGCCCTGGGGAGGCTGGAACACTCCCACCCCTGGACTCTGGCTGGCTCCCTGTGGCTTAGGACACTCACATTTGGTGTAGGAGAGGCTCCAGGATCTGGAAGATGGCATCATCTCTAGAATACAAGGCAACCCCTCAAGTGAGGAGATCCCCCCCCACCTGCCCTAGAGACCCCACCTCTGAGATCCTAGTTTTATCCAGGCACCACCCCCTATTGGCTCTAGGGTGGGGTACTCACCACTGGCCACCGACGGGCGCTGAGACTGCAAGCGTACCTTCACCACGTCCAGGGGTGTCACTGGGGAAGAAGGGCAGGTCTGAGGATCCTTTCAGGACAAGAGCCCTCCCTCAGGGCCAAGTCACCGCCAGTCTCTGGTCTGCCCATGTCCCCCAACCTTCCCAGATCTTACTGAAGAGGGTGGTGACCACAGACCCAGCGCCCGAGGCCACCATCTGTTGGAGGGGGCTAATGGCCCCGGAGTCCCGGTCAGCCATCCTGTAGTTTCAATCCTGAAAAACAAACCTCAGTCAACAGGAGCACAAAGCCCCTTAATGAGAGTCAGTGTCAGGGCCTCCCTGGTGGCCTAGGGGTTAAGTCTCAGCCCTATCACCAGGATGGCCTGAGTTCCATCCCTGGCATATGGCACGGCAGACCTCTCCTGTCTCACCCGCTGCTCCCCTGAGCGGAGTATTTCAGTAGATCCACCTGTTCTGCTCCCCACTCTGTCTCCAGTGAATCCTCTCACCCCGCCTCCCAAACCTACAACCCAGTTCCTCTATGTAAGCAAACGAACAAAAAGAGTCAGTGCCAAGGGCAGAAATGAGGCAGGGATATTTTGGGACTCTATCTGGCCCCCCTGCTCCATCCACTCACCCAGTATGAATTCAAATACTTCTCACACGCCTTCTTAGAGAGTAAGCACAGGCTCATTTTGCGAATAGGGAAACTGAGGTTCGGGGCAGGGAGGTGACCTGCCCAAGGTCACTCTGGGAGGAGCCAGGAAGGAAGGTGGGCAGGGAGCCACTGCTTAAAAGGCAGCACAATGGCCCCTGTCATTCCCTCCGCGGCTCCACCGAGGCTCACAGCGCGCCTCTTCGGGGCAGGCACCGGGCTTGGCCCGGCCGATGATCACCTGCGACGCCCCCAACTCCAGCTCCGGCCTCGAGGCGAACGCACGCAAACCCCAAGTCACCGGGCGTGGAGAGGTGGGGCTGGGCGCTCAGTGAAACGTGTAAACAAACCTGACGGAGGCGAAGGGGTCCGTCCGCCTTCTCGACACCAGAGACTGGGGCGGCTGGGGCGGCCAGACTCGCCCGCATCCCCGCTCCCCGGGCCGGAAGAGCCGGGCGCCCGGCCGGGGCGAGGAGCACAATCTTCCCGCCCTCCGCCCCCCAAACAGAGCCCGGGCTCGCGGAGAGCCGAGAGAAGCGCGGCGGGGAGGCAGCTCTCTCCCGCCCAGGGCGACGAGCGCAGAGGGGTGCCCTGTGGGGCCGACTAGGTCCGTCCGCGGCCCGGGACTCGGGACCCCGGCCCCGCTCAGGCTCCCCCGGGCCCCCGCCCCGAAGCCCCACTCCGACCGCCGCCCGGCCGGGCCGCCACCCCCGCTCCGCCCCGCCCACCTGGCTCTAGGCGGGGGCTCGCGCGGCGGGGCGCCGGGGGCCGGGCGGGCCCATGGCGGCTCCGCGGCCGGTGCAGGGACGCGCGCGCTCGCCGCACACCGAGGCCGCCGCCGACGCCGTGACGGCGCCGCCCGCCCCGTCCCCGGACCGCGCCGCGAGGCCCCGCCCCGAGGCCGACCGGTCGCTCACCCGAGGTGCGCCGGCCCCGCCCCCGCCCCGCCCCGCCCTCCCCGCGGCCTGGAGCCGGGGCCCGCGCGCCGGGGTCGCCGCCGGGCTCGCGGCGCGGGAGCCGGAGGCGGCCACGCACTGGAGCGCGCCCTCGCCAGCCCCGCCGGGCAGAGCCGTGCGCGGCGCCCGGAGCCAGGACGCCCCCGGGCCTCCCGGGCGGGCCCCCTCCTCGGCGCCCCCCTCCTCGCGCCGGCGGGAATTTACATCAGTTGCTCCGAGGCCGCGCGGCGAGCTTAGGGCAAACATCCCCCGCGGCTTATTTATGCGTACAAGAACTGGGGTACAGGCTCCAGAGGCGCGTGGGGTGAGGGGGTCACCAGAGACAGAGTGGGGAGCAGAACAGGCAGACTGGCTGAAACACACTGCTGAGGGGCGCAGCGGGGAGGCAGGCGAGGTCTGCCGCGCCATGTGGGTAGCTCCCTGGCCGGCCGGGGATCGAGCTCGTGCTGCAGAGGCTGGGGACAGCTTCTCGGTGCGGTGCTTCACCCCCTGCACTTCACCCTTCAAACACAAACGCGCGTCGCCCCCATGTGTCCGACGCGCCAGAGGCGCAGCTCCAGCCCCGCTGGACGACCCGCGGGCGCCGTGCGGTGCGGGCAGCGGGCAGCGCGCGCACAGCCCGGAGAGGGGCCGGGCCGAAGGTAAGGTTGGCCCCGAGCCCGGCCGCCGGGGTCTCCCGGCTCCCCTGGGCCCGACCCGCCCCCGCGCGGCCCCGCACGTGGCAGCTGCGCCCGGCGGGGTGGGGGGGCCGGCGTCGGTGCGCGGGGAGCTCGCTCGCGTCCCTTCGGCCTCGCAGCTCTCGGAAGAGGGGGCTGTGGGCCCGCTTCACAGGACGTGAGACTGAGGCCTCAAGTTTAACGGCACATCATGGGACTAGCCGCCCCCCCCCGCCTGCCCGGGGACGGGTGGGCACGCGCCGGCGTCTCTGACCCCGCGTCCTACGGAGACGCGCCCGCGGCGCCAGCCCCCACCGACACCCCACCGCACGTTCGCCTTTAAGATGTGCGCGGCCGCGATTATTTGTCCTAACACAGTAAAACGAAACGGGGCTGCGAGCCTGCGCCTTTAAGGAGAGTCGGCCGCGACTCTGGCGTCACCAGTTTCCCCGCCCCGGACGCCAGGACTGGTCGCGTCGCAGCCTCGGGCCGCCCACTCGGCCGGCGCACGCCGGGTTAGCACGTGGATCCCAGCGGGCCAACCGTCAGCTTTCTCGGAGAAAGGGTTTTTGCGACGCCCCACGCCGAGCTAGGGGGCGGGGAGAAAGCCCTCCGAGAGTTGTGAAGTGGCCCCTGGTCGAAGGGCGCGGGGGAGAGAGACGCCCTTTTCGTTCCCTTCCCGGACTAAGCTGAGATCTGAAAGGACACAAGATCATTTTATAGACGGTTGGCTGAGACCCTATTAAGGTCCTTTACAGCCTCAAAGTTGTGGTTCACCCGCAGTTTCACAGCCAACAGCCAAGGGAGTTCTCGCCCCACTTTGCAGAGGGGGGAACTGAGGTCCTTGTATGTAGTGACTTTCCCAGGGTGGAGTAGAACCCAGGCCTCTTCCACGCAGTCTCCCATCTTACGAAAACCTGTGACCTCCAGGCCAAACGGCGCCAAGGTCACGCCAACCGCCAACCGAAGAGCCATTATTCAAAGCTCCCTGCCTGAATCCAGAGGAACTCCCACCCCACCCCATTCTCAATCAGGGTGCTCTGCTCCCAGGGGTGAACTCCTAGCCGGTACACAGACCCACCATCTCCAAGAACTACAGCCAGTGAGGGGCAGCGCCATTTCCTTACTTCAGGATCACAGCCTCTGAGGGCACCTGGCTCCAATCTCCTGCAGTAATAGTGGGGGCTCTCACCTTAGTGCATTCCTCATTTATAAATTAGCTGATGATGACAATAAGGCACCTATCTGACAATATTTAATTATACCAGGATTTGTCTGGCATGTGCAAGAACCCCATGTCTATTATTGTCGTCGTTGTTGTTGTTGTTATTATTATTATTATTATTGATGTCCTCCCGCAGGAAGCCTCTGGCACAGAAGTTCAGGAAAGGGCCTTTGGTCAGTTTCTGGGCCTACCTTTGCCTCCAAATGCAGGCACAAATAATAACTTCTTACACCCCCTACTTCCCAAAGCCAAGATCCCACAAAGTAGCACAGCCAGAAATCACACCTGGTGACCTCTGAGCCTTAGTTTTCCCAACAGTAGAATAAGAGGCTTGCATTCCATTTTTTTTTTTCTTGCAATAGGAGGACTTTAGATTTGTCACTACGCCTCTCTTTCCTCATCTGAAAATAAGACTGTGGTCATCTGTCCTGTTAAGTCATAGTCTTGAGGCTAAAGTCACATCTGTGAAAGCCATGTGAAGAGTGGATGAATGGTTCTGTGGTTCTTCAGGTTCCTGGAGTATAGTAGATAAGGCACATTTCTCCACCTGTCTGTATTTTGAGGCATAGAAAACATGAAAATGATGTAGGGGTGACCAAAGCCCAGTGTGGTGGTAGCAGTCTGGAGAGGTCATCCACTATCCAGAGCTGGTGCAGGTGTCCACAAGGACGATCAGGGTAGCTGCAAGGAGCATCAGGGACTCTGGGAGCCCAGGAAGCCCTGAAACCCCGTAGGGCTAGAGTATAGGGACGCAAGCCTGGAGGACTAAGGAGGAGGTGGCCACTGTTCCAGCTGACTCACCTCTGGTTCATACTAACAGTGAACCCAGTGGTCCTTCCAGAGAAGCATGTGGCTCCATGTGGCCATCACCACCCTTTCCATCCTTTGGAAAAACAGAAACTCCTTTTAACTGTACAAGTGGAGAAAATAGTATACCAACCCACAAATGGACAAGTCCTTGCCTGGCCCTGCAGATGGGCGGGGTGGCTACATAAACAGAAGGTAAACTGAGGCTGAATTCTTCCAGGATATGCCCAGAGGCAGGGGCAGTGTCTCCTGAAGCTGGACTCCCCTAGGCCCACAAGGAGGTTGTGGGGCTCAGGTGCTGCTGTGATCCTGGAACCAGCTCCTAGAGCTCCTGGAGGAGGCCCAGGGCGCAGAGCCATTGAGCCTGAGGAGTCCAAAATCCAGGCCCAGAGATCAAAGCCAAGTCCTGTCTTTGATTGAACTGCAGGGGTGAGAAGAGAGTGATGGGGGGGGGGGGAAGGGGTGAGAGACAGGTGTGGGTGGGGGAGTCACAGAGCTGGTGAAAATTGAATGAAGCCAGAACTGTAGCTACTGCTTTATCAACATTCAATTTCTTGAGTGTGAGAACCAAACTATGATTTTGTAGAATGTAGATTTTGTAGAATGAAATGTTATGATGTCTGCTACTTAGTCTCAAATGGTTTAGAAAAAAAGAGAGGGCGAGCTAAGGGAGCTAGCTGCCTGGACAACTGGTGGATCAAGGTGAAGGGTATGTGGGTGCTCAATGAATCATTCTTGTCATTTTTATGTTGTTAAAGTTGACAGAATTAAAAGTTGGTGGGGAAAATGATTTTCCCTTTTGAAATACATGTGTACTGTTTATAGAACTGGAAAAAGCAACACAAATTTTTTTTGAAACTTAATGATGGCCAGGATCACCCCTCCCAGGGGAAAGACCTTCCTACCTCCTCCTTTCCCCATAAGCTGAAGGGATGGATGGGAGAGTTTCTGGACACCCACTGGGGAGGAGACTCTGGATGTGGCCTGAGTAGCTCCCAGAAGGGAAGGGTCCTGGCAAAGACTTCCAGAATTCGCCATCCTCCTACCCCAACCAAAGTGCTCCAGTTCTCGCTCCAGTTCTACTGGGGGAGTGTGACTTAATCTACCTCCGTGGAAGGTCGTTCTTGGGCATAACTATCAAAATTCCAAAAGCCAAACCCCGTGGCCGCCAGGACCCTTCCAAGAACCCTTCCTCGGATGCGCTTGCCCCGTGCAGACAGACAGACCAATTCAGCTTTCGTTGTAGCTTTGTTCGTAACAGCAGAAAGCGATCGAAAGGGAGCCGCGTGACAGAACTTGCCTGTGAAGGCTGGAGATCTCCACATCACGACGTAAAACAATCTCAAAGACAGTTAAATTTAAAAGCCCCGCACTGGGGAGCGCGCTGGGCGGTGGCCTCCCCGGTGCGCTACCGCCCTCTAGGGGACATGTTCGGAATTACGCGGCCGTGTGTCGTCACAGGATCCCACACCTGGCAATTGACAGCTGATGTGCCGGGTCTCCTGACTGTCCTATTCGGTGTAGGGCATTTCCACACAACAAGGAATAATTGTCCTGTACCCTGCTCAATTTTTTTCTGTCTTGCTAGACAACCACATGCATGAGGAACCTCATAATTACCTGACCTGGAAGTTAGTTCTAGCTCATCCACCTAGTTTGAATGTTTGTTTGTTTTTTTTTAAGATTTGTTTTATTTATTTATAAATATAAGAACTGGAGTGTAGGCCAGAGATGCGGTGTTTGTGTGTGTGTGTGAGAGAGAGAGAGAGGATTCACCATAGACAGAGTGGGGAGCAGAACAGATGGATCTACTGAAATTCACCACTGAGG